ATACTGAATAACTGAACCTTATAAATTGTATATCCTATATGTTACTCACAATTATATCACACAAATGTTAAACCTAGGACCCAATCTAACTTTGTTATTTTTTTAAATACACTACCTAACAGAATACTCCATTCGACTGAATGTACAGCAATGCATGCAACCATATGACCTGTCTTTGTAATACTCATTTGTGCTTTATAGTTATCTGTTTACAATAATGTTTTATCACTGATTTCATCATTGCTTAGTTAATCGTAAGTTAATTTTAAGCCAGCCCGTAATGCTATGCATATAAGTGGCTTTGGCATGCTGCTCTTACCTGTATTTTTTTGTACCTCTGTATGTATGCTAAAATTACTAAATAAATAAATAAATAAATAAATAAATCTCCAACCAAGTCCGGGTGACCCGAAATAGAAGAAATGCTTTCACCATCACTCATACTTTTCTTGTTCATTTGCAATCCCATTTTCTGTCTTGCTCTTAATTCTTTCAATAATAACTCTACCATACACTTTACCTGATATGCTTAACCCTTTCAAGGTTGGATCCCCTGATCTGAGAATTGCTTTCAGGGTCAAGGAATTTTCAAAAAAAAAGACAGAATCTTTTTCTGAAGGTAATAAAACCAAAAGTATGAAATTATTATGGAATTAGGCTCTCACAAAGTTAGCGGTCTTGGCAATTTTTACGCATTGGCAATTTTGCCCACTTTGAGCCCTATTTTAGGCCAATTCCATTGTTCCAGTCAACCAAACTCATAGCTATTTTGCTAGTATTCTTTCCATTCTATCAAATGAGTACATACAACTGCCTATTTGCCTATTTCAACTACCCAATGTAGGCATCAGAAATCAGTAATTTGGCCAATTTCATGCAAAATTAAAAAATTTACAAATAGGGTCCAGAATAAACAATGTAGACATTCCTGGCACTAAAAAACTTTCTCTATTCATTAGTTACATCCCAGGCCTCTCCTATATTATGCTTGCTTTCCATTTTGAATTTTTTTCACAAAAATAAAAGATTTACTGTTATGCAGACTAATGAATTATTGTAATAATTGTATAAATAATGTCAGCACAGTTCTGAATGCGTATCAGATTGACCAGTTGGATGCATATTGGATGAGTAGTGTAATTTTTTGTACTCTAGAATATCGGCAAAAATTGAACATTTCTACTACATTGTGCTCAATTTCAACTTACTTTCAGTCCTGAAACCAATCAAAATCAACTTTATTTCTGTAATATATCTTCAATTCTATCAAATGACACCAAGAAACCAAGAATACAACCTTAAAAACCATACAAAAATTACATCGTAAAGTCACTACAGTGGACCCTCGACTAACGCTATTAATATCCGTTCCTGAGAGCTCATCGTTAGTCAAAATAATCGTTAGTCAAGTTAATTTTCCCCATAAGAAATAATGGAAATCAAATTAATCCGAGCAAGACACCCAAAAGTATTGAAAAAAAAAATTTTAACACATGAAATATTAATTTTAATACTACACACAAACTGAAGAAGACATGCACAGTTACATGACACTTACCTTTATTGAAGATCTGGTGATGATTGATGGGATGGGAAGAGGGGAGTGTGTTGATGGTCTTAGTGTTTAGAAGGGGAATCCCCTTCCATTAGGACTTGAGGTAGCAAGTCCTTTTTCGGGGTTACTTCCCTTCTTCTTTTAATGCCACTAGGACCAGCTTGAGAGTCACTGGACCTCTGTCGCACAACATATCTGCCCAAAGAGGCCTGTACCTCCCGTTTCTTTATGACATTCCTAAAGTGTTTCACAACATTGTCAGTGTCACCATTAAACACTTGTTCAGGTTTCAGTCCTTCACTGTCTATGTACTCCTTGAATTCCTGCACATATTTTTCAGCTGCTTTTTGGTCCAAACTGGCAGCTTCACTATGCCTTATCACACTATGTATGCCACTACGATTCTTAAATCTCTCAAACCAACCTTTGCTGGCCTTAAATTCACTCACATCACCACTAGTTGCTGGCATTTTTCTAATTAAATCGTCATGCAACTTCCTAGCCTTTTCACATATGATCGCTTGAGAGATGCTATCTCCTGCTATCTGTTTTTCGTTTATCCATACCAATAACAGTCTCTCAACATCTTCTATCACTTGCAATCTCAGTTTCGAAAACGTAGTTGCGCCTTTGGCAAGAACAGCTTCCTTGATTGCCGTTTTCTTGGCCACAATAGTAGCGATGGTTGACTGGGGTTTTGTGCACAGCCTGGCCAGCTCAGAGACACGCACTCCACTTTCATACTTAGCAATGATCTCTTTCTTCATATCCATAGTAATTCTCACCCTTTTTGCTGTAGGGTTGGCACTAGAAGCTTTCTTGGGGCCCATGGTGACTTATTTTGCAGGTGCAATCACTAAAAAGGCTGTGATAATATGAAATGTTCTGATTGTATGCTTGGAAGCGACCGCGGTGGCTGGCTGGCTTGTAAACACTGGCCAGAAGTGGACATGTCTCAGACGGAACGAATAGTGTTGGTCGAGTTTTTTAGCGCTAATCGAGGCAAAATTTTTGCGATAAAATGTATCGCTAGTCAGATTTATCGTTAATCGATGCCATCGCTGGTCGAGGGTCCACTGTATTTTAAACCAAAAAATAGTCACAGTTTTTTCCCATTATGCACTGCATGGGGCAAGGTTTTTTTTATGTGATGCACACTTACCAAATAGACCCATTCTCTCATTCTTTCAACACACTGGCCGTATCCCACCGAGGTGGGGTGGCCCAAAAAGAAAAACAAAAGTTTCTCCTTTTACATTTAGTAATATATACAGGAGAAGGGGTTACTAGCCCCTTGCTCCCGGCATTTTAGTCGCCTCTTACGACACGCATGGCTTACGGAGGAAGAATTTTGTTCCACTTCCCCATGGAGATAAGAGGAAATAAACAAGAACAAAAACTAGAGAGAAAATAGAAGAAAACCCAGAGGGGTATGTATGTATATATATGCTTGTACATGTATGTGTAGTGTGACCTAAGTGTAAGTAGAAGTAGCAAGATGTACCTGAAACCTTGCATGTTCATGAGACAGAAAAATGGACACCAGCAATCCTACCATCATGTAAAACAATTATAGGCTTTCGTTTTACACTCACTTGGCAGGAAAGTAGTACCTCCCTGGGTGGTTGCTGTCTACCAGCCTACTGCCTAGACCATTCTCTCATATCTAGGCAAAAAATTTACCACTCACAGCTTATCTGAGTGAGCTGAGATCATCATATAGTTCTACAGCACCAACCCAGAGTTCAAAGCCTTAGTACTATGGCACCAACCTCGAACTAGTTAACAGGCTTAGTCCCCTTTATTTTTTAGACTCTCTTTTGCTCCACTATAATTTTTAAAGTGGTGGACCGGTAAGCCAGTGGAAGGCCTTGGTCAGATGACCAAAAGCTCCAACAGCAGGTCACCATCAGACTAAGACTCATGTCAGGAAGCACTTGTCCTCTGTTTTGACAAACCTTACCTAACCTTTTGTTCCCCTTTTTTCATACTAAGGAACTATGCACACCTGCTTTTAACATTTCTGTCTTGATCTCATTAACCCCAGAAATTACAGAAATTACTATCATTGACTTTAGTTCTTCAAAGAACCAAAAGAGAGTATGTCAATATCTAAAATACAATTTAAAAAAATAAGGAATCTACTTTAAAAAATCCACTCAACACTTAAGGTACACACCAACAAAGTGGAGATAATTTTGAAGGTTTTCATTTATATAAAGGAAATGGCAACAACATTAGTTAATGTGGAGTTCATTGAAGGTGGACAGGAAAAACTAATGGATACCCTAACAAAAAAAATATGAATTATTAACTTGGGTAACAAAACAATGATACACCTAGATGCCTCACAAAATATACAAAGGGAAGTAACTTTTAATTTTTTTTTATTCATGGTTGTGAATGCAGCAGCGAGGAGGTGGTTGGAGGCAGTGGAGATGTCCTGTCTGGGCAATGTGTGGTGTAAATATTATGCAGAAAATTCAATGTGTGGAAATTAGGAGAAGGTGTGGAGTTAATAAAAGTATTAGTCAGAGGGCTGAAGAGGGGTTGTTGAGGTGGTTTGGTCATTTAGAGAGAATGGATCAAAGTAGAATGACATGGAGAGCATTTAAATCTGTAGGGGAAGGAAGGCGGGGCAGGGATCATCCTTGAAAAGGTTGGAAAGAAGGGGTAAGGGAGGGTTTGTGGGCGAGGGGCTTGGACTTCCAGCAGGCGTGCATGAGCATGTTCAATAGGAGTGAATGGAGACAAATGGTATTTGGGACCTGACGATCTGTTGGAGTGTGAGCAGGGTAATATTTAGTGAAGGGATTCAGGGAAACCGGTTATTTTTACATAGCAGGACTTGAGTCCTGGAAATGGGAAGTACAATGCCTGCACTCTAAAGGAGGGTTTCGGGATATTATCAGTTTAGAGGGATATGTTGTGTATCTTTATACATATATGCTTCTAAACTGTTGTATTCTGAGTACCTCTGCAAAAACAGTGATTATGTGTGAGTGAGGTGAAAATGTTGAATGATGAAAGTATTTTCTTTTTGGGGATTTTCTTTCTTTTTTGGGTCACCCTGCCTCGGTGGGAGAAGGCCAACTTGTTAAAAAAAAAAAAATCATTACTTGATAAAAGGAAAAAAAGTATCAAGATGACAACATGATATAATAACTAGGTATGGGAAAAACAGATTAAAAAGAAAAAAAAGATTCTCAGACACCAAGAGGGAGAACAAGAAGTCATAATAATAAACTGAGAAAAATGCTACTAGAAGGATATATGAGTTGTTCTTCATGGGATCCAAGAGAGGGTAAGTCTTACAACTAATGAAAATATAAAAAAAATATATATATAGAACAATTAAAAATCTCAAGATGGGGCCCCATGAGCATATCTCTGTGCCTGTAGTTACAATGGGTACTAATCATGAATAGGAGAAAATGGGTCATACATTTTGTGCTGAGGTAGACTCCTCCTGGCTGAGGTGTTATGATTTCCATTGTAACAGCACCAGTAATGTTAGCATTGCTGGCATCTCTGGTGAGAAAATCCCACACCATAACAGGTTTAAGACGTGTTGAGGAGACATGAAGAGGAGCTTCAGATTCAAGTTCCATATTGTCCCAGCCATCTCTTGATAACTCAGTTGTTGCCTGCATCTACACATGAAAAACATAATAAATATCATAATGTAAAGGAACAAACTAAAAAATTTTACAGATTTAATGTACTTGTCATGAATATTGTCATTAATTAATTAGTTTTTCAAAGTGAGCAAGTACTGGAAATAAAATACAGTACACACCTCCCTATACATTCACATGCATGCAAGCACACTTTTTTATGTGGATACAAAATACACACCTGTTTTGCAGCATTTGTAATAACAATAAATTCTTTGAATTCTCTTGTAGGCATATAATGAACAACTCTTAAATCAGGAGATAAAGATGTGTGCTTAAACTCGTGCCTCATTAAGGCTGTGCACATAGCGCTTCGAGGCATTTTCATGGGGCAATGGTAACAGAGTAATTTTGTTTCAGAGCTGGTCACTCCTAGAGGCCAACGCTTGAAGCCTTTGTCGGTCCATCTATAGTTGTCAATAACTTCTGTTGACAAAAAATAATGAAGAAAATTATATGAGAATTTTTTTTTTTTTTTTCAACAAGTCGGCCATCTCCCACTGAGGCAGGGTGACCCAAAAAAGAAAGAAAATCCCCAAAAAGAAAATACTTTCATCATCATTCAGCACTTTCACCACACTCACACATTATCACTGTTTTTGCAGAGGTGCTCAGAATACAACAGTTTAGAAGCATATACGTATAAAGATACACAACATATCCCTCCAAACTGCCAATATCCCAAACCCCTCCTTTAAAGTGCAGGCACTGTACTTCCCATTTCCAGGACTCAAGTCCGACTATATGAAAATAACCAGTTTCCCTGAATCCCTTCACTAAATATTACCCTGCTCACACTCCAACAGATCATCAGGTCCCAAGTATCATTCGTCTCCATTCACTCCTATCTAACATGCTCATGCACGCTTGCTGGAAGCCCAAGCCCCTCGCCCACAAAAAGTCCTTTACCCCCTCTCTCCAACCCTTTCGAGGATGACCCCTACCCCTCCTTCCTTCCCCTATAGATTTATATGCTTTCCATGTCATTCTACTTTGATCCATTCTCTCTAAATGACCAAACCACCTCAACAACCCCTCATCTGCCCTCTGACTAATGCTTTTATTAACTCCACACCTTCTCCTAATTTCCACACTCCGAATTTTCTGCATAATATTTACACCACACATTGCCCTTAGACAGGACATCTCCACTGCCTCCAACCGTCTCCTCGCTGCTGCATTTACCACCCAAGCTTCACATCCATATAAGAGTGTTGGTACCACTATACTTTCATACATTCCCTTCTTTGCCTCCATAAATAGCGTTTTTTGACTCCACATATACCTCAACGCACCACTCACCTTTTTTCCCTCATCAATTCTATGATTAACCTCATCCTTCATAAATCCATCCGCCGACACGTCAACTCCCAAGTATCTGAAAACATTCACTTCTTCCATACTCCTCCTCCCCAATTTGATATCCAATTTTTCTTTATCTAAATCATTTGATACCCTCATCACCTTACTCTTTTCTATGTTCACTTTCAACTTTCTACCTTTACACACATTCCCAAACTCATCCACTAACCTTTGCAATTTTTCTTTAGAATCTCCCATAAGCACAGTATCATCAGCAAAAAGTAACTGTGTCAATTCTCATTTTGAATTTGATTCCCCATAACTTAATCCCACCCCTCTCCCGAACACCCTAGCATTTACTTCTTTTACAACCCCATCTATAAATATATTAAACAACCATGGTGATATTACACATCCCTGTCTAAGACCTACTTTTACTGGGAAGTATTCTCCCTCTCTTCTACACACCCTAACCTGAGCCTCACTATCCTCATAAAAACTCTTAACAGCATTTAGTAACTTACCACCTATTCCATATACTTGCAACATCTGCCACATTGCTCCTCTATCCACTCTATCATATGCCTTTTCTAAATCCATAAATGCAATAAAAACTTCCCTACCTTTATCTAAATACTGTTCACATATATGCTTCAATGTAAACACTTGATCTACACATCCCCTACCCACTCTGAAGCCTCCTTGCTCATCCGCAATCCTACATTCTGTCTTACCTCTAATTCTTTCAATTATAACCCTACCGTATACTTTTCCTGGTATACTCAGTAAACTTATTCCTCTATAATTTTTACAATCTCTTGTGTCTCCTTTCCCTTTATATAAAGGGATTATACATGCTCTCCGCCAATCCCTAGGTACCTTCCCCTCTTTCATACATTTATTAAACAAAAGTACCAACCACTCCAACACTAGAGAAATATTAGATCTAAATGTAAAATTTTCCAAACAAAGAAAAAAAAAAAAGGCACAATATTATGACTGGAACAGTGCACAAATAATCCACACATATAACACTGAAACTTATGATGATGCTTCAGTCCGATCTGAACCATTAACAAGCGTGAGCGACTAGTTAATGGCTAGAGTAGGACTGAAATGTCATCATAGGTTTCAGTTTCCCACATGCAGGTTGTCTAAAATTTTCCAAATAAAAAAATATGTCCGCTAGATATTCAGAGCCTTAATTAATATCATCCCATCTAGGATCTATGTTTGAAAATAAATGGTATAAAATACCGACACAATGGAAACATAAACACATATGCAGTTTAATGTGATCCTTTATTGACAACGTTTCGCCCACACAGTCTACTTTGTGGGCGAAACGTTGTCAATAAAGGATCACATTAAACTGCATATGTGTTTATGTTTCCATAGGATCTATGTTTACTGAAAAATATTTTCTTTCTCTCTTACATACCCTAATCTGAGCCTCACTTTACTTAAAAAACATCTTACTATCTATTTTATACATTTTCTAAACTAGCAACATTGCTTCCCTTTTCACCATAACACATATTTCCAAAGCCATAAATGCAACAAACAGTTATTAGTTTCTCTTGTCTCAATGTGCTCATTTATATACGTACTTTAATGTAAACAATGATCAACACATTCCATTCTTATCCTAAATCTTCAAATCTGTCTGCCTAGCATTTTTGATGGTAAATGCCATACATTAACAAAGTAGCTAAAATTAAAGTTCATGCTCAATCAGTGATTCCTAAAGCTGCATGGAAATTATTATGCGGACATACTGAAGTACAGTGGACCCTCAGCTAACAATATTAATTCGTTCCTGAAAGCTCATCGTATGCTGAAATTATCGTTAGCTGAATTAATTTTCCCCATAAGAAAAAATGGAAATCAAATTAATCCATGCAAGACACCACAAAGTATGAAAAAAAAAAAATTTTACCACATGAAATATTAATTTTAATACACACAAACTGACACTTACCTTATTGAAGATCTGGCGATGATTGATGAGATGGGAGGAGAGGAGAGTATGTAAGTTGTTAATGTTGTCCTTTTCCGGGGTTACTTCCCTTCTTCTTTTAATGCCACTAGGACCAGCTGACCATGGTGCAGCAACAGCTGACTTTGGTGCAGCAGCAGCTGACCATGGTGCAGCAACAGATGACGGTGGTGTAGCAGCAGCTGACTGTGGTGCAGCAACAGCCGATGGTGGTGCAGCAACAACTAACAGTGGTGTAGCAGCAGCTGACTGTGGTTCAGCAACAGCTGACTGGTGCAGCAACAGCTGACTGTGGTTCAGCAGCAGCTGACCGTGGTATGATAGTACGTATTTCCCACCCTTTTTACATATGATCGCTTGAGAGATGGTATCTCCTGCTATCTGTTTTTCGTTTATCCACACCAATAACAGTCTCTCAATATCTTCGAGTACTTGCGATCTCTGTTTCAAAAACAATCTTGCACCTTTTGCAAGAACAGCTTCCTTGATTGCCGTTTTGTTGGCCACAATAGTAGCGATGGTTGATTGGGGTTTGGTATACAACCTGTCCAGCTCCGAGACACTCACTCCACTTTCGTACTTAGCAATTTTCTCTTTCATTTCCATAGTAATTTTCACCTTTTTTACCGCATGGTTGGCACTAGAAGCTTTCTTGGGGCCCATGGTGACTTATTTTGCAGGAACAATCACTAAAAACGCTGTGATAATATGAAATGTTCTGATTGTATGCGTGGATGCGACCGCACTGGCTAGCTCGTAAACACTGGCACCCACAGGACAGCTGAGGCGCGCTCAGGCCACACGGACGCGTCTCGAACGAATCACGTAAGCTGACTTTTTTAGCGTAAGGTGAGGCAAAATTTTTGCGTTAAAATGTATCGTATGGTGGATTTAACGTAAGGTGATGCCATCATTAGCTGAGGGTCCACTATACTACTACTCAAGAGGGAAAGACTTTTGTGTGAATCAAATGTCAAAATAAATGCAACAACAGGAATCAGAGAATAGCAGTGTACTGGAGAATGCACTTAATACTGTATATTTGAAAATTTTAAGAAAAAACAAGGTCAGGCTTTAATAATGAAAACTCCCAATGGTAGTCAAGAGTGGTTTGATACGTTGAAGAATTCTGATGCGATGCATGCACCTAAAATGAGTGTCAGTGTTCAGGTGCTCATGAGAAGACAGCCAGTTTTAATAAAACATTGTTGACTATAGTTGTAGAAGATGGCCGTATAACAGAGCAGATGTTCAGTGCTCATGGGGCTGGGTTTTTGTTGAAGATACATTTATTAATATAGTGTTATTCCCTTGTGGGTCATTCAGCAAAAGTATATTATAAAATGTCAAAAAAAAAAACAAGGTGAGAACTAAACAATGGGAATTTTAAAAAGTGCTCAAGGCTGGTTCAGTAAAATGAAAAACTGTAATGATGCATATGATTAAATTAACCCTTTGACTGTTTTGGTCGTATATATACGTCTTACAAGCCACCGTTTTTGACGTATATATACTCATAAATTCTAGAGGCTTCAAATCAAGCAGGAGAAAGCTGGTAGGCCCACATGTGAGAGAATGGGTCTGTGTGGTTAGTGTGCACCATATAAAAAAAAAATCCTGCAGCACGCAGTGCATAATGAGAAAAAAAAACTCCGACTGTTTTTTTAATTAAAATGCAGACTCTGTGGTCTATTTTCGTATAATATTTATGGTTGTATTCTCATTTTCTTCATCTCATTTGATAGAATGGAAAATATATTATAGAAATAGAGGTGATTTTGATTGGTTTTACTATAGAATGAACCTTGAAATGGAGCTCAAAGTAGGGAAAATGTTTGATTTTTGCCGATGTTCAAAAGTAAACAAATGATGTCATTTTCCAATAAATGTCCAAGTAGCCATTCTAATATGCAGTCATGAATGGGTTGTCATTATTTATACAACTATTACAATATTGTAGTAGTCTGCATAACAGTAAATCTTCTATTTTTTGTTTGAATAAAAATTCAAAATAGAAAGCAAGAGTAATATCAGAGGGGCCTGGAGACACGACTGATGAATAAAGAAAATGTTATTTTAGAGCCAGGAATGTCTACATTATTTATTCTGGACCCTGTTTTGAAATTGTCATATTTTTTAATTTTCGTGAAATTGGCCAAATTGCAAATTTTTGACCATGTTATTAGGTAGTTGAAATCAGTAAATGGGCAGTTTCTTGTACTCATTCAATAGAAAAAATGGAGTTCTAAAGAAATAGCCATGAGTTTGGTCAACTGGAACAATGGAATTAGCCAAAAATAGGGCTCAAAGTGGGTGAAATCGCCGATTCATAAATATCGCTGAGGTCACTAACTTCGCAAGAGCGTAATTCCGTCAGTTTTCCATCAAATTTCGTTTTTTTGGTGTCATTACAATCAGGAAAAGATTCTCTATCATTTCACAAGAAAAAAACAATTTTTTTTTTTTGGGGGGAAATTTTGCAACACCAGGAGGCACCTCAGGATTTGGGGTTGCGACAGTCAATGGGTTAAATTGTCCAGAGTTTAAGGCAGTCAGAGAACATCTTGTACTTTTTTGCAGGTGGCATTGCATACTAACAGTGGCCTTGAAGGCACACAGGTGTTAAGGATACATAAAAATTACATAATGTTTATATAACCCAGGATATTCCTCAAACTTAATTTTTTTTTTTTTCAAGACAATGGTCATCTCCCACCAAGGCAGGGTGACCCAAAAAAGAAAGAAACATTTTCACCATCATTCAACAATTTCACCAGAGACAGCTGGTGAATTAAAAAAAAAAAAAGTTATAATTTGGTGTCACTGAATTGTAAAACATAATACATGTAGTGCTGACTTAATTACGCTACTGTTGTCAATGAGTGATGATTTATTTGTCAATTTCAGTATCCCAAAAAATTATAAATTCTTATTAGATTCCATTCATTTTAGTCCTATCTGAGTTGTAAAAAATGCACTCTTTCAATCTGTAAGAAGAGTTTTTTTTTTTTTTCAAAATCTTGCCACATGCTCACACACACACTATTAGCGACTAACAAAAAAAATGGGGCCAGGACCTATGAATCGACACCTGCAACCACAAATAGGGAAGTACATACACACACATGCACACAGGAAATATAATTTCCAGATAAGTCACAGTTAAAGGGTTAATATACCCTAATCATTGTTGCCCCCCATAATGTTCAAGTCTTGGCACTGTCAACAAACATTTAGTAAAGTACATATGTCTGTGTGTTTCATCAGTTACTAAATTTTAAGTCTTAAGGTAAATAGTTGTAATATAAATACACTTGTTAGTGCTTCAAGACCAAACGTATGTTGTAAATAAATTCCTCTACTATGTGAAAATTAGCAACATATTAAGAGTGAAATTAACTTACTTGAATTTTTTTCAGAGGGTAATCTCAGAAGATATACTTGAAAAGGCTGTGGGTTCAAAATGGGAGCAACAACAATTCTCTTTTCATCTGGGTTAGATAACATGGCATCTACAAGAGAAAGTGTTAAATTGGAGTTGGATTCAGTGTAGATTCGAGACTGACATTCACGCTCCACTGTTTCTGCCGATTTTTCAAACTGTAAGAAAGAAACCTTACATTAGAATAATTTTATTATTTTTATTATCACACTGGCCGATTCCCACCAAGGCAGGGTGGCCCGAAAAAGAAAAACTTTCACCTTCATTCACTCCATCACTGTCTTGCCAGAAGGGTGCTTTACACTACAGTTTTTAAACTGCAACATTAACACCCCTCCTTCAGAGTGCAGGCACTGTACTTCCCATCTCCAGGACTCAAGTCCGGCCTGCTGGTTTCCCTGAATCCCTTCATAAATGTTACTTTGCTCACACTCCAACAGCACGTCAAGTATTAAAAAGCATTTCTCTCCATTCACTCCTACCAAACATGCTCACGCATGCCTGCTGGAAGTCCAAGCCCCTCGCACACAAAACCTCCTTTACCCCCTCCCTCCAACCTTTCCTAGGCCGACCCCTACCCCGCCTTCCTTCCACTACAGACTGACACACTCTTGAAGTCACTCTGTTTCGCTCCATACTCTCTACATGTCCGAACCACCTCAACAACCCTTCCTCAGCCCTCTGGACAACAGTTTTGGTAATCCCGCACCTCCTCCTAACTTCCAAACTACGAATTCTCTGCATTATATTCACACCACACATTGCCCTCAGGCATGACATCTCCACTGCCTCCAGCCTTCGCCTCGCTGCAACATTCATCACCCATGCTTCACACCCATATAAGAGCGTTGGTAAAACTATACTCTCATACATTCCCCTCTTTGCCTCCAAGGACAAAGTTCTTTGTCTCCAAAGACTCCTAAGTGTACCACTCACCCTTTTCCCCTCATCAATTCTATGATTCACCTCATCTTTCATAGACCCATCCACTGACACGTCCACTCCCAAATACTCTCTCCCTCCAATCTGATATCCAATCTTTCATCACCTAATCTTTTTATCCTCATAACCTTACTTTTTCCTGTATTCACTTTTAATTTTCTTCTTTTGCACACCCTACCAAATTCATCCACCAATCTCTGCAACTTCTCTTCAGAATCTCCCAAGAGCACAGTGTCATCAGCAAAGAGCAACTGTGACAACTCCCACTTTATGTGTGATTCTTTATCTTTTAACTCTACGCCTCTTGCCAAGACCCTCGCATTTACTTCTCTTACAACCCCATCTATAAATATATTAAACAACCACGGTGACATCACACATCCTTGTCTAAGCCCTACTTTTACTGGGAAATAATTTCCCTCTTTCCTACATACTCTAACTTGAGCCTCACTATCCTTGTAAAAACTCTTCACTGCTTTCAGTAACCTACCTCCTACACCATACACCTGCAACATCTGCCACATTGCCCCCCTATCCACCCTGTCATATGCCTTTTCCAAATCCATAAATGCCACAAAGACCTCTTTAGCCTTATCTAAATACTGTTCACTTATATGTTTCACTGTAAACACCTGGTCCACACACCCCCTACCTTTCATAAAGCCTCCTTGTTCATCTGCTATCCTATTCTCCATCTTACTCTTAATTCTTTCAATAATAACTCTACCATACACTTTACCAGGTATACTCAACAGACTTATCCCCCTATAATTTTTGCACTCTCTTTTGTCCCCTTTGCCTTTATACAAAGGAACTATGCATGCTCTCTGCCAATCCCTAGGTACCTTACCCTCTTCCATACATTTATTAAATAATTGCACCAACCACTCCAAAACTATATCCCCACCTGCTTTTAACATTTCTATCTTTATTCCATCAATCCCAGCTGCCTTACCCCCTTTCATTTTACCTACTGCCTCACGAACTTCCCCCACACTCACAACTGGCTCTTCCTCACTCCTACAAGATGTTATTCCTCCTTTCCCTATACACGAAATCACAGCTTCCCTATCTTCATCAACATTTCAATTCCTCAAAATATTCTCTCCATCTTCCCAATACCTCTAACTCTCCATTTAATAACTCTCCTCTCCTATTTTTAACTGACAAATTCATTTGTTCTCTAGTCTTCCTTAACTTGTTAATCTCACTCCAAAACTTTTTCTTATTTTCAAGAAAATTTGTTGATAACATCTCACCCACTCTCTCATTTGCTCTCTTTTTACATTGCTTCACCACTCTCTTAACCTCTCTCTTTTTCTCCATATACTCTTCCCTCCTTGCATCACTTCTACTTTGTAAAAACTTCTCATATGCTAACTTTTTCTCCCTTACTACTCTCTTTACATCATCATTCCACCAATCGCTCCTCTTCCCTCCCGCACCCACTTTCCTGTAACCACATACTTCTGCTGAACACTCTAACACTACATTTTTAAACCTACCCCATACCTCTTCGACCCCATTTCCTATGCTCTCATTAGCCCATCTATCCTCCAATAGCTGTTTATATCTTACCCTAACTGCCTCCTCTTTTAGTTTATAAACCTTCACCTCTCTCTTCCCTGATGCTTCTATTCTCCTTGTATCCCATCTACCTTTTACTCTCAGTGTAGCTACAACTAAAAAGTGATCTGATATATCTGTGGCCCCTCTATAAACATGTACATCCTGAAGTCTACTCAACAGTCTTTTATCTACCAATACATAATCCAACAAACTACTGTCATTTTGCCCTACATCATATCTTGTATACTTATTTATCCTCTTTTTCTTAAAATATGTATTACCTATAACTAAACCCCTTTCTATACAAAGTTCAATCAAAGGGCTCCCATTATCATTTACACCTGCACCCCAAACTTACCTACCACACCCTCTCTAAAAGTTTCTCCTACTTTAGCATTCAGATCCCCTACCACAATTACTCTCTCACTTGGTTCAAAGGCTCCTATACATTCACTTAACATCTCCCAAAATCTCTCTCTCTCCTCTACATTCCTCTCTTCTCCAGGTGCATACACGCTTATTATGACCCACTTTTCGCATCCAACCTTTACTTTAATCCACATAATTCTTGAATTTACACATTCATATTCTCTTTTCTCCTTCCATAACTGATCCTTCAACATTACTGCTACCCCTTCCTTTGCTCTAACTCTCTCAGATACTCCAGATTTAATCCCATTTATTTCCCCCCACCGAAACTCCCCTACCCCCTTCAGCTTTGTTTCGCTTAGGGCCAGGACATCCAACTTCTTTTCATTCATAACATCAGCAATCATCTGTTTCTTGTCATCCGCACTACATCCACGCACATTCAAGCATCCCAGTTTTATAAAGTTTTTCTTCTTCTCTTTTTTAGTAAATGTTTACAGGAAAAGGGGTTAGTAGCCCATTGCTCCCGGCATTTTAGTCGCCTCATACGACACGCATGGCTTACGGAGGAAAGATTCTTTCCACTTCCCCAATGGACAATAGAAGAAATAAAGAAGAACAAGAGCTATTTAGAATAATGATGATACTATTTGCAATTTTCAGACAATATATCATAAAATAAACATATACGGTAATTTACAAAGCATGAAATAGTCATCTTTGGGTTGACAGAAGGCAAACAATGCTGGAAAACTATTCACTGTCAGGAAATATTTTTTGACAATCTAGAAATGGCATACCTTTAGAATAGTTTTTCCATTTCGAAGATGTCCCTTCTCATAATGTATAATACAAATATGAGGATCACTTTTAAAGAGTGTGAAGACTGACTTGCTGGCAGGAGGCAGTGGGTAAGTAAATAATGCCTTGGAGTCACGAAGAGTAAACCTCTCCATAAGAACTGAATGTACTTTGTAGTAATGTTCTCTCACCCATGCCAATGAGTCACTGTAGGGAACTAAGATAATGGTTTCATTAAAAAATATATATACTTCAAAATTTATAAAATATACACTGCATAAAGCACTGCTATCAAGTATGAAATACACTAGTTGTGGAAACCACAACTAGGCATTGTTTTGTAGATACAGTACTCACTCAAATGTGATTGCAGGGTTCAAACAAGCTCATGGGTTCATAAGAATTCCATTTCTATCCCAGCTAGAGATATATCGTATCTACTTTCTGTCCACCACATCTTTTCTTAGTGGGTTCGACATTTGTGACCTTTATACTATAGTTTTTTTCTGTTTCTGGGGCTCATCTGGCTACAGTTTTCAAGTTCCATTTGTCTCCCATATCAGTCATTTCAGGCAGTTAATATAACATGTCAGACCTATCTTGAAGTACATAGCACCAGTATGGAACCCACACCTGAGGAAGCATGTTTAAGAAACTGGAGAAAGTGCAGAAGTATGCAATGAGACTAGTTCCAGAGCTAATGAGAATGAGCTATAAAGAGACACTAAAGGAGCTTAACCTAATGACCCTGGAGGACTGAAGGATGAGGGGATATATAATAGCAATATACTAAATGCTCAGGAAAATTGGTAGGACAGACAGTAACAGGTTGTTTGAAAGGTGGGACACAAGTACTTGGGGACACAACTGGAACTTAAAGATACATAAGAGTCACAGGGATGACAGGACGTATTTTATCAGCCTCAGAGCGGAGCGGAAAGTGGAATGACCTCGACAAAGAAGTCGTGAAGGCAGACTCCATACGTTCCTTTAACCTTTTCAGTGGTTGTCACATAGAACTACATCACTGAGGCCAGGTTCCCTCATGTAATTCTATGTCATGAGCTCAGATCTCTCAGATAATCTTCTTTCAACATATTGGCTATATCCCACCAAATCTCAGATAGGCTGTGAGTAGTAAATTATGGCCTAGATATGAAAGAACAGGTCTGCACAGTAAGTGTGTGCAGTATTTAAAAAAAAATTTTCCCCATGCAGTGCATGATGGGTAAACCATGACCAACCATTGCTGGTTATATTTTATTATCTGGGAAATAAGAGTAAATCTTCTATTTTTGTGTGAATATGAATTTAAAATGGAAAGCAAGTGTAATATAGGAGAGGCCTGGAGGCATGATTAATGAACAGAGGAAATGTTTTAGTGCCAGGATTGTCTATACTGATTATTTTGCATTCTGCTTTTAAGGTGGCATTTTTTAATTTTGTGTAAAATTGGGTAAATTACTGACTGTTCACTTTATAGAGGACAGTCATACCCCATTTTATGTCATTTCAGCCTATGTCAAATTCACTTTTACGTCACTTTTCTCGAGTAAATTTCAGTTCAGCGAATGTCATTACATCGCTCAGCAACATCATATTTTTAATTGTGTTCATTATTCTTTAAAAAAAAAATGACTAAAATGTGTTTTTAGTGTTCTTTAATGTTTAGCAATACACAGTTATATTCTTTCATGAGTTATTTACGCTATGACTCACGAAATCGTAATGACACGATTGCAAACAAACCATACCATGGGCGGGTTCAAATCCCGCCCATGGTATGGTTTATTTACACTAGTTTTACAGCATTTGTCATCATTTTAAGGCATTTTTAAGGCAATGTGCAGTTTAAGTAAAAAAACGGGTTACGCTGCAACTCTTGGAACCAATTAATGACGTAGGGCGGAGTATGACTGTAGTTGTAATTGTTGAATGGGACATTTCTTGTCCTAAATCAATAAAATGAAGGCATACTAATGAAACAGCTAAGAATTTTGTTGAATGGAGTAATGAAATTGACTTAAAATAGGTTCAAATTGGGTGAAATCACCGATGTGCATATTGTGCCTAGACTGCTAATTTTGTGCCTGCGTAATTCTATAAGTTTTCCATCAAATTTCATACTTTTGGAGTCATTACCTCCAGAAAAAAGATTTTCTACCATTTCAGAATTTTTTTAAAGTGAACACTGGGAGCAATATTAATTTCAGGGGTCTGCACAGTGAAAGGGTTAAGAATAGGTATTATAGTGAGACAGTAAATCTGGCTGGTGGCAATTTGAGAGGCTGGGTCAGGATCTAAGACTTGACCCCTGCAATCATGCATAGAGCCACTTCTCAGAGCCAACAACAACATAACTATCTTTAACTACAATATCAGATCTTTAAGCAAGCATTATGATGACCTCCTAGCATTACTAAATTCCTTGCATGCCAATATGTCCATCATTACACTAACTGAAACCTGGCTAAAGCCTGATACTACAGATGTCTATGCCATTCCTGGTTACACAGCCATACACAACTGTAGGCCAGACCAAGAAGGGGGTGGCACTGCTATATACTACTCAGACCAACTAGAATGTATCACTAATATTTGCACAAGGGATGAACATGGGGAATATATAATAGCTAAATTCAAATCCAAATACCTACAAAAACCTCTCACAGTGATAAACATCTACAGAGTTCCACAATCAAACATTAGCCAATTTAGTCAAAACCAGGAAGTATGATAACTGATGCACGCATGAACAAAGATCACTTACTACTCTCAGGTGACTTCAATATAAATCTCCTGCAAGACCAGGACCCACACGTTACTGAATTCACAAACACAATGAGTAACAGCATGTTGCTACCAACAGTAACAAAACCTACAAGAGTTACAGAGACTAGTGTTTCCCTACTTGACCACATCTGGACCAACACCATATCCCCTTTAAAATCAGGCATAATTACAGATAATACCACAGACCACTACCCTACTTTCCTCATAACAACTCTTGGTAAAATACCCCAAGACACTACTAAAGTCACCTTCAGACTTCACAATGAGGCAGCCATTAATAACTTCACAACATCAGTAACAAACATTGACTGACACACTGAGCTAGAAATCTATACAGATATTGACGAATGTTTTAATAATTTTCTAAAAAAGACCCAATACCTTTATAACAAGCACTGCCCTAAAAAAACTAAACAGATGACAGCTAAGAGACTGAACAGTCCCTGGCTAACACCCAGCATTCTCAAATCCATAAATACAAAACACCGATATGAAAAACAGTACAGAATGGGTCACATAACCAGAGACCAAACAAAACGTTACTCGTCAATCCTAACCAGCCTGATAAGAAGGCCAAAAAAATTGTATTATGAGAACAGATTATCCAACTTACGAGGTGATATAAAAAAGACATGGAAGACCCTATCAGAAATTCTGGGAACAAAAAAGATATCACGACATAGCGAAATAAAATTAGCAAAATCAGATGAACCCCAACTCCCACCAACAGAAACAGCAAACAGACTCAATGATTTCTTCTCCACTATAGGTCAAAACCTTACCAATAAAATCCCAAGCTCAGATACCCCACCAAATGACTACCTCACTAGCAACTACCCGAACACACTGTTCCTAGCTCCGACAAAACCCATACGAAATCTCCCTTATTATCAACGCACTGAAAAACAAGGCAGGAGATTTAAATACCTTACCACCCTTTATATACAAAAAAGTGCCACAAGTACTATCACCAATCATTGCAACACTCTTTAACAAATCCATTGAATCCTCCACCTTCCCTACAGTTCTCAAAATAGCAAGGGTCACCCCGATCCATAAAGGAGGAGACCAAACAGAGTTGAATAATTATAGGCCAATATCCAATTTACACCCTCTCTCAAAAATCTTCGAAAAATTAATTCATAAACGAATCTACTCCTACCTCATCTCCCAAAACATTCTCAACCCCTGCCAATTTGGATTCAGGCCTAATAAAAATACTAATGATGCTATTATACACATGCTAGAACATATATACACTGCAATAGAGAAAAAAGAAGTCCCACTGGGGATCTTCATTGACTTACGTAAAGCTTTTGATACAGTTGACCATGACTTGCTCCACGTAAAATTGTCACACTATGGTATTAGAGGGCACTCCCTCAATTACCTCAAGTCTTACCTCAGCAACAGAAGCCAATGTGTGTACGCAAATGGGGCAAGCTCTTCCGCACAACCAATTACAGTTGGTGTCCCACAGGGAAGTGTCCTTGGCCCTCTTTTCTTTCTCCTATACATAAATGACCTACCAAATGCTTCGCAATTACTCAAACCCACACTTTTTGCAGATGACACTACATACGTCTTCTCTCACCCAAGCCCAGTCACGCTAGCCAATACTGTAAACACCGAATTACAGAAAATATCTACCTGGATGAGGACTAACAAACTTACACTAAACATTGACAAAACCTACTTCATTCAGTTTGGTAACAGAGCTACAGATGTACCTCTTAACATAACGATAAACGGATCACCTATCACAAAGCTAACAGAGGGAAAATTCTTAGGAATCCACCTCGATAATAGACTCAAATTTCATACACGTATACAACAAATTTCTAAGAAAATTTCCAAGACTGTAGGCATACTATCGAAGATACGGTACTATGTTCCACAGTCAGCCCTCCTGGCCCTTTATCACTGTCTTATTTACCCCTATCTCACCTGCAGTTAGAATGATAACAAATTCTCACTACAGGCAACACACTCCACCAATATTCAAAACACTCAACCTACTCACCATACAAAACATCCATACTTATTATTGCACCTATTACATACATAGAACACTTAACTCTGATATTAACCCTCCCCTCAAACATCTCCTTGCCAACCTCAACAGAACACATGACCATAACACAAGGCACAGATCACTCTTTGATGTTCCTCGTGTCCATCTCACGCTATGCAAAAACTCAATGCACATAAAAGGCCCTAAAATCTGGAATTCATTACCTGTAAATATAAAAAAAGAAACACTACCTGTTTATAAATTCAAGTCTCTTCTCAAAGTTCACTTACTCACTCAAAACCAAATAAATACTGAATAACTGAACCTTATAAATTGTATATCCAAAATGTTACTCACAATTATATCACATAAATGTTAAACCTAGGACCCAATCTAACTTTGTTATTTTTTTAAATACACTACCTAACAGAATACTCCATTCTACTGAATGAACAGCAATGCATGCAACCATATGACCTGTCTTTGTAATACTCATTTGTGCTTTATAGTTATCTGTTTACAATAATGTCTTATCACTGATTTCATCATTGCTTAGTTAATCTTAAGTTAATTTTAAGCCAGCCCGTAATGCTATGCATATAAGTGGCTTTGGCATGCTGCTCTTACCTGTATTTTTTTTGTACCTCTGTATGTATGCTAAAATTTCTATATAAATAAATAAATAAGATGAGTACATGTCAAATTTTCCTTAGTTTTTGCTTTGTCCAAATCATCACTCTTCTTCCATAGATCTCCTGTCTTCCAGGCAAACATATGTATGCAAATACATGCAAGTACAGTATGTACTATACAAATTGATTATTACAAACAAGTATAATAATTTACATTCATAGGTTTGCACACGTGTCTACATGTGAATATAACTTAGCACATGGTATATGCAAGATTATGTACATTCTTCAGCATGGCATTACTAAGTTAAAATGTGCCAATATGTTTTGTTATGCATATGAATGTTTGTAAAAATGTTCATGACTAATGGAGTAAAATGTAATGGAAAGGACTTACCAAAGCTCTTATCAAGGACATAAATATCTCCATACTGAGGCATTCTCACTTCATTCTTGTAGACAGCAATATCCCCTTGCTGAACTCTGCCTGTTGAATAAATAATGCATTGAGCTTATGAAAAAACAAGTGACAAATACGTGATTAGAGGGAACTTGCATACCAAAACACCAACAGGACTCAGGCAGTATTTACATTATATAGCAAAAACAGTCATGGTTTGAGCCATCTTCATCAAAAGTCAATGTAAAATGAACAATTTAATAATAATAATTAATTTGCGATAGGCCTCGCTCTTGCCCCAAAATACACTTTACTCAATACCTTGCCACACTTGGGATTATTATTAATACATTCATCAGGGAGCACTATACCAAAGGGGTTACACAGTGTCAGCAGAATGGGAGGCACTCACATTTGGTTAAAGGCAAGGAAGCATAGCTCCAACATGACACATCATAAGCTCTTCACTGGCATCATCGCACTCACCCTGAAGGGTGGCCACATTTGAGATTCAAGGTAAAGAAAGATTAATTTACATGCCCTTCATACCAGTTAATGCAAACAAACTCCAGACATAGCAGTCAAGGCCAAGTCTGAACCAAAACTGCTTCACAACCACATTAGAAGTAATAAATGACAGCAAAGGACAAGGTAATTCAACTGAAGGAGGAAAGCACATGGAAAATGACAAGAAGTCTGCAAAGTGCTGAACAAACAACTTAAAGAGGTCTTCTCAGTGGAAATAGGCAATGCCAAAAATCTATGGGAAAAAGAGTACATCAACAGGTACTGGACACCATACAGGAAGTCCTCATTTAACATCATTTTGTTCAGCATCGTTTCATTATAATGCTGATGAGAAAAAGAAATCAATTCCTAGTCAGGAATGCTGGCACTGAACTACAGGCCAGTTTCACTGACATGTATGCCATGCAAGGTAATGCAGAAGACAGTCAGAAAGAGAGTAGTAGAGCACTTGGAGAGAAGGGGCTTCATAAATAATAACCAGTATGGGTTCAGAGAAAGAAAATTTGGTCATACTGACCTATTGGAATTCTATGACAAAGTAACATAAGTGAGACAGGGGAGAGAGGACTGGGTGGATTGCATTTTCTTAAACTACAAGAAGGCATTTGATACTATATCCCACATGAGACTGAGACAAAAACTTGAGGATCAAGCAGGAATTACAGATGATTAAAGAGTACACGTATAACCCACACATAGAAGAGAGAGAGAGAGAAAAGCTTATGATGACATTTTGGTCCAACTTGGACCATTCACAAGTTACAGCATGACTCATAATCTTATGCCATCATAAGCTTTCCTCTCTCTCCTATATGCAGGTCATTTGTGTATTGTTCCAGTCATGGTATTGTACCTTTTTGTTCTTCATTAAAGAGCACCTTAGGGAAACAAAGCAGAGTGGCTGTCCAAGAAGAGATGCCAGAATGGGGAAGAGTAACAAGCTGGGTACCACGATTGGTATTCAGGCCAGTACTGTTTGGTTTATATATACAGTGGTCCCTCAATAATCGTCCGGCTCGATAGTCGTCCTTTTTGGAAATCGTCGCGTTATTTCGTCCAAACATTGGCTCGCAAATGGTCCGTTGACTCGCTAATCATCTTTCGTCCTGGACGCGTACTCACGCTCTGAGCCGCCTCGGCCTCCCTTCCCAGCCAGTGTGCCATTGTTTACCAGTGAGTGATGGTCCCCTCACTTGTTCATGCGAAATATTTCGTAATATTCCATTCATTTTAGTGCCTGCAAGTGCTAAATAAGCTACCATGGCTCCAAAGAAAGCTCCTAGTGCCAAGTCTTTGGTAAAGAAGGTGAGAAATATGATTGAATTTAAGAAAAACATCATTGAACAATATGAAAGTGGCATACATGTGGGCAAACTGGCCAGGATGTATAACAAATCCCGTACAACCATATATTCCATCGTGGCCAAGAAAAAGGAAATCAAGGAAGCTGTTGTCGCAAAGGGGGTAAATATGCTGACAAAAATGAAATCACCAGTACTCGAAGATGTTGAGAAGTTATTATTGGTGTGGATAAACGAGAAACAATTAGCAGTTTAGTTTAATATGTTTATTATGCACCCCATACCCATCCTGTGGGTGGTAGTCAAAAGATTACAGAGGTACATAATTGGTCCAGGGACTGGACTCCAAAGTTTTGATAGCTGAGCAAGTTACAGAGGTAATGAACTCACAATTACAAAGGTAATGAACTCACAATTTACAAAGGTAATGAACTCACAATTTACAAAGGTAATGAACTCCAGGTAGGTCTGGTTAATTTGCAGGAGATAGTCTTATGACCTCGATTATTTTTGAAAAGGCTAGGCAGTTGCATGACGATTTGGTAAAGAAATTGCCTGCAACTAGTGGTGATGTGAGTGAATTTAAGGCCAGCAAAGGCTGGTTTGAGAGATTTAAGAAGCGTACTGGCATACACAGTGTGATAAGGCATGGTGAGGCTGCCAGTTCGGACCAAAAAGCAGCTGAAAAATATGTGCATTAATTCAAGATTGGATATCAGATTGGAGGGAGAGAGTATGGAGGAGGTGAATGTATTCAGATATTTGGGAGTGGACGTGTCAGCGGATGGGTCTATGAAAGATGAGGTGAATCATAGAATTGATGAGGGGAAAAGGGTGAGTGGTGCACTTAGGAGTCTGTGGAGACAAAGAACTTTGTCCTTGGAGGCAAAGAGGGGAATGTATGAGAGTATAGTTTCACCAACACTCTTATATGGATGTGAAGCATGGGTGATGAATGTTGCAGCGAGGAGAAGGCTGGAGGCAGTGGAGATGTCATGTCTGAGGGCAATGTGTGGTGTGAATATAATGCAGAGAATTCGTAGTTTGGAAGTTAGGAGGAGGTGCGGGATTACCAAAACTGTTGTCCAGAGGGCTGAGGAAGGGTTGTTGAGGTGGTTCGGACATGTAGAGAGAATGGAGCGAAACAGAATGACTTCAAGAGTGTATCAGTCTGTAGTGGAAGGAAGGCGGGGTAGGGGTCGGCCTAGGAAAGGTTGGAGAGAGGGGGTAAAGGAGGTTTTGTGTGCGAGGGGCTTGGACTTCCAGCAGGCATGCGTGAGCGTGTGTTGATAGGAGTGAATGGAGACAAATGGTTTTTAATACTTGACGTGCTGTTGGAGTGTGAGCAAAGTAACATTTATGAAGGGGTTCAGGGAAACCGGCAGGCCGGACTTGAGTCCTGGAGATGGGAAGTACAGTGCCTGCACTCTGAAGGAGGGGTGTTAATGTTGCAGTTTAAAAACTGTAGTGTAAAGCACCCTTCTGGCAAGACAGTGATGGAGTGAATGATGGTGAAAGTTTTTCTTTTTCGGGCCACCCTGCCTTGGTGGGAATCGGCCAGTGTGATAATAATAATAAAATAATAATAATTCAAGGAGTACATAGAGGCTGAAGGACTGAAACCTGAACAAGTGTTCAATTGTGATGAAACAGGCCTCTTTTGGGAGAAAATGCCAAAGAGGACCTACATTACTCAGGAGGAAAAAGTACTGCCAGGACACAAGCCTATGAAAGACAAGCTGATGCTCATGTTCTGTGCTAATGCTAGTGGGGATTTCAAAGAGAAGCTGTTACTAGTGTACCATTCTGAAAATCCCAGAGTGTTCAAGAAAAACAATGTTATGAAGAGTAAATTGTGTGTGTTTTGGAGATCTAATAATAAGGCATGGGTCACGAGGGAAATTTTCGTCGAGTGGCTCAACGAAGTGTTTGGCCCTAGTGTGAAGAATTACCTCCTGGAAAAGAAATTGGATCTCAAGTGCCTCCTAGTAATGGACAATGCAGCTGCTCATCCTCCAAACTTGGATGACCTAATTCTGAAGGAGTTTGGGTTCATCACAGTAAAGTTCTCGCCCCCGAATACCACTCCTCTCCTTCAGCCCATGGACCAGCAGGTCATTTCAAACTTTAAAAAACTCTACACCAAAGCAATGTTTGAAAGGTGCTTTAGTGTGACCTCAGACACTCACTTGACCCTAAGAGATTTTTGGAAAGAACACTTCAGTATTCTCCATTGCATAAGCCTTATTGGTAAGGCTTGGAAGGGAGTGACTACCAGGACTTTGAACTTTGCTTGGAGAAACTTGTGGCCAGATTGTGTCCACAAGAAGGATTTTGAAGGGCTTGAGGCAGCCCCTGATGAGCCTATGTCACTTGTGAACTCTATTGTGGCACTGGGGAGTTCCATGGGGTTGGATGCGAGTTTGGAGGATGTGGAAGAGTTGGTGGAGGACCACAACGAAGAGCTAACCACTGAGGAGCTGAGGGGGCTTCAGCAGGAACAGTAACAGATCACAGCTCAGAATCTTGCTGCAGAGGAGGAGGAAGAGAGATGGAAGAAGGTGCCTTCTTCAGAAATTAAAGAGATTTTTGCTATGTGGGGTAAGATGGAAAGCTTTATGGGGAAACATCACCCTGAGAAGAATGTTGCAAGCCATATCAGCAACTTGTACAGTGACAGAGTCTTGGCCCATTTTAGGGAAGCTTTAAAGAGACGCCAGAAACAGAGCTCTCTGGAGTTTTTTTGCGAGACAGGACTCCAGTGACTCTTAAGCTGGTCCTAGTGGCATTAAGAAACAGAGAAGAGAAGTAACCCCAGAAAAGCACTTGGTACCTGAGGTGTTGATGGAAGGGGATTCCCCTTCCAAAGAGTAATTCAATCTCACTCCTCCTCCAGTCTTCCATACACTAAGAAGAATCTCCAATAAAGGTAAGTGTTATGCTGTTAATGTTTCATTCATCATGTCCCATTCTATTGTTTATGTACTACATGTATATTTCATGTAAAAAAATTTTTTTCTTTTAATACTTCTGGGTGTCAGGAACGGATTAATTGTATTTACATTATTTCTTATGGGGAAAATTGATTAAAAAATTGTCTATTTCGATAATAGTCACACTTCCAGGAACAGATTAAGGACGATAAACGAGGGACCACTGTATATTATATATATATATATATATATATATATATATATATATATATATATATATATATATATATATATATATATATATATATATCATAGGTAGTAGGTT